GGCTAAGCGTTCGCGCATACTTTGTTAGCCTGTGCTAAGGTCTAGACCGCGTCTTAAATTCGGATCAGATTTAGCCTGTACTTAGCCATTCTTTAGCCTGTGCTAAGCGTTCACGCACGTTTTCTTAGCACGGGCTAAGGAATTTGACCTCTTAGCCCGTGCTAAGGAGCTGTGCGTGAACGCAACTATTGAGAAAAACGCTATGAAATCTCACCTGTTCCAGTTCAAAGGCCTTAGATTTATCTTCATCCAAGTCTGCATTTTTCCTATAAGCCAATGCCAACCCCCATACACACAGTATACTGTATACATTGTCCCGGACCCAGGCATCCCGTAACTCTTCACTTGCTGGTAATAATCCAGTTATTGGATCCTAAAAAGATGCATAGTAAAAAAAACACAATTTAATCTTTCAAAACTAATTTCCACATAACAGATTTGTTATATGTATAACCATGTGAAAGGTTTATCTACACAATTATCAGTCGAGTGTTTGTGACTTCTCCTGAAATGAAACTGCGCCATCAGACAAAAAGGGAAAAATGCAATGCACAATAAACCATAAAAAATTGCAACTGTTAAACTGTTCCTTCACAAGTGTGTGAATTAGTATGTTTATGAAAATAATGATTTTTTGTCTGTTAATTAACAGAAAATTGAAGATAAATGAGTCAATATCTGTCATTGCAAAATATATCTGGTGGTAATGTACTGAACACAAATACAGTGTCAGTAACCTTACACTGTGAAACACAAGAAACATTTAATTATGCAACATGCTTATTCCTTCTTCAAGTTGTCTTGCCATGGATGATTTTTCACATTGATTTATATGTATCAAACAGAGAGGATACCCAAAATATACCATGAATCAAGTTTTCTTTTTGACAGAAGAGCCTCGCCAGGCAATGAACACACGATTCTTTGGCATCAGCCGCAAACGTATCATGTCCAGCCATTGGTTGGCCACTAAGAGGTCAAAATACGCATTATATTTTTACACGTTGTATTTAACCCCCTTCGAAATGTTCTACTTTCGCTGTCTTTTTTGAAAAACGTTGAAAAAACACAAGAGTTATTAGAAATGTTCCTGTTTTGGGCAGATTATTGATAGAGAATAATGTCTTTATTACAAAAATGCTGAAAAACCTCAAGTTTTTGTCTTAGTTATTTTTTTTATCAGTGAAAATCTACGTATTCGGAAAATTTGGTTGCACAACTTCTCTCTACCGAGCGACACCGATGTCAGCTGACTGTGGTACCAATTATGTGATTTTCACTATTTTGACAACGAGGCAGCAAGGCGTTTCACAGTATAATCTTGGTTATAAAGAACCTTTTAATTCTTTTGATATTGTAGACATTATTTACAATGCTAGAGGCAAATACAGAACATGTTTGTGAAAAATTTGCTGGTACAATGTACATGTATGAAAACACAATGCCACCTCAATTTAGACAGGCAGAGATTTATTATAAGAATGAATTCAATGCAGCCACATAGACACAAATCATATCACTCAAGACCATAGTATTTCAAACACCAGTGGGTCTCAAACTGGAAATATCTTACATAAGAATACAATGAAAATGCGTTATGCTATTTTTTGTGAATTGATCATTTGCATGCATTGGTGGAATCAGGTTACCATTCAAACAAATGATCAGATTTCATTGACATTTACACTATGGTTTCATTTTACGCTGGTGAAATAATCGTATGTTATAAAATTACAGTTATGGTTATAAACGGTTTCATGAAATTCTGATCAATACTATATATTTTTTGTATGAAATAATGCTTTAACACGGAATTAAGTTGTTCAAAAAATGTAAACTTTTGTATTTTTAGGCAGTTTTCCCACAAAAAATCACTCAAACAAGGAAAAGAAAAAAAAGGAAAAGTTGATGATACGTTTCCAAATGACTAAACACTTCTATATAACAAAAATGGTGATACATTTTTCACTCATAGTAAGTTGAAGACCCACTTCTGCTAAGAAGGTTGGTGGACAATGAGCGACCTCAAATGTCACCTCACTGACACTAAGCCAAGCCTCCGTCAAACCCACGAACACCATTGTATTGGACAACTAACGTCTTTCAATTATGGAATTTCAGCTTTCAGACTATAAAATGCAGGATATTTTCCATCCACCTGCCTCTGATACCGGTTACATTCGTACGTGTCTAGAACGATCTAGAACACCCATTCAAGTTAAAGTCACACTCCAAGGTCAAACGACCAGTTAAATCATCGCCAATCGACAACAACCTTACCTGGTTCGAGAAAATTACTTTTTGGACGACGCGCTGGTAATAATCCAGACGAACACCGGAGTTACTCCTACTCCTCATGGTGTCTGCTAGTTCAGAAACATTTCGAACAACACCTAATCGCGTTCCGTATTAAAAGCTGCTTGCCAGACGTATATGCTAAGAATTTCCGCTACTACTGCAGGGCTATCCTATGACTGAACTCGATTCCGCAAATTAGTTCCCACAATTCTTCGAACGTGACGTACTACATATCAGCTCCTTATCTTTACGTGCATTAACAGATCCCAATTTATTAGACGCGAACTATTGCCGGGAATGTTTATTTTTAAATAATAAGATAAAGATCAGGAAAACAATTTATGAGTTAACTTAAATTTAGTTGACAGAAATTGCTGCTGTTTTTGTTTTATTGTTGTTGTTGTTGTTTTCAATGTGTTTTCTCGCCGACTTAGGTAGTCAACTCTCATCTTTCTAACTCGGTCGACGCCATTTTGTACGGGGTTTGCTCGTTGATTGCCGGTAAGTTTGTTGTTTTTAATAACTTGCTGGATAGTGGATAAATGTCTTCTTTTATTGTGACGTTTTTTCGAAAACTATAAACGCGACACTTTTTTGAACCGCTTGAAGTGAAATTGATTCAATAATCCATTTGAGGTTTCCTCTAAAACTAAATCACCACGTCTACGTGACTCACTTCTGTGCAAATCAGGACGCATTATAGCTGTTGGGCCATATCTCTTCTTGTGTCGGTCTTTAGTCTGCGATGGTATTTTAGTAAATTCTGATTTATTTTGTGTCATTAAATTTGTTATTTTTGAATAATTGGATTTTATCGACACACAAGAGATTCCTCCCATAGACTTGCGTAACACAAACGTGCAACGTCAAATAAAAGTCGATGAAAAGTACACTATTTTCAGTTTCTCATATCACACCTATCAAAATTATCACCAAATTAATAATATGTTTATTAAACTCACACCAGAGTGAAACCAGTGACAAAAACTATTGGTTTAATGTTGTTTTTTCCCCGAGACTTATGTCGCTAAACCTTACTAACTTCAGTGGCAGCCATTTTCGTCAGGTCGAGGGATAGCCCTGCTTACAGTGCTGTGTGTACGGGGACGCGTTCAGTTGATAGATGTCCCTACCACAGCCCTGCGTACCTCCATAGACAAAGTCCGGGAGCGCACCGTAATTGGTGCGCAAGTTAAAAATAAGTAGTTTCCCAGCCGAAATCGGTTGAAATGACGATAGTTATCCGTAACAACCATTACAAAGTTATCTGAAACTGAAATGTCTTTAAATAACAACTAGTAAAGACGGGCAAATTGTAAACGCGTAGGTACCGGAGGAATTATCCACCAAACGTCGCCATTTTTAATTTCTTTCACGCGAGAGAATACGTTTGTTTTTAGGGCAAAGTAGCCGATTTCATCCACAATTGGACTTCGAACTGGGAGTTCTGGATATATCTGGTAATCGATCATTATTTTTGGTACC